AGAACAAAATCCCAGTGAAGACCTGCAGGACGACTGTTAGACACCAGAACAAACGTTAGACTGATGATGCTGATTACTGAGGATTATGAATAATTCTGGACATGCCTTTTCAGAAAAAGTTTTACCCCGAATTACTTCATTTATGCACTTTTGTATCTAGTTAGATTTTAAACTGTACTCGCTTGTCAAAGTTTAAACCCAAATTGGTTCACAAGAGACACGACTACAGAAGCATCCGAACCTAAACATGCAATTAGTGTGAGAACGTGTCACATTTTAAAGTGCTGGCCTATAGATAAAATGTCAGCAGCTCACAGGTCGTAATAAGGATCTGAACCAACCCTCCATGAGCTGCCTCTCCCCTCACGCTAGCAGCCTGCAGGCCGAAGGTGTGCTCACGCTTCCATCTGCTGATCCTTTGGAGCATTGCAAAGGGCTGTGCAGCTATTAGGAGCCGAACCCTGAGGAAACGAGTCCCTGCTGCAGAGAATATTCTGCTCACTCAAAACTCTAAATCTCATTTTGCATAATTGTAATGGAAAGCTTGGTCACGGAAGAGGGGTGAGGAACGGCACATCTGACACAATAAATACACAGAAGCCTTATGAAAATGTAAATTCCCCGGTATCGTTCGAGCCTTCGGTGATGCAAGGAGGAGAAAGTGGTGATAAACACAACCAGCTGTCGCTCGTTTTATTTTAACTTTTTCAAAATTTATTGGTAAAAAAACAAACAAAACAGCATATTTCATTTGCAATTTAATCAAAACACCAGGAACAAAAATATAGAAAAGCAACTTTAGATGATTTACAAAATATATACATTAAACCTACACAAATACACACACACACACAGACGGACTGTATGTACAGCGTTATAGTCAAATATCTGTATTTTGTGCACAGTGGGGTCCAGAAGTCTGAGTTCACCACACAAAAAAAACAACTGCACATTTAAACAGTAAAAAACTTAAAAACAAATACATTTCTTCATTTTAAAGCTTTTTATTCAAGAAATGACAAAAAAAACGCAACAAAAACCGTCTGTATTGCTTTATTATCATGTCTGAGAACTGATCAATAGTGTATATGTCCTATCTATGTGTGTATCACTGCTGAAGGTTGTAAAAACGAAAGGATCGCCATAAAGGCAGACGTCGACTTCAGCTGCTGCAGAAATAAAAGATTAATTTTTGTCTAAACAAAAACGTCCGCATGTGTCGAATCTCCACTAAAACCGTCTGCGAAGTGTTACAGTGTGCTGACTTGCATAGCTTCTCCTCGTTATTTTGCTCAATCAATCGTTTAGTTTGGTCTAAAAAAAAAAACAAAAAACAAAAAAACAGAAAATTATGAAAAATGTCCCAAAGCACCAAGATGACAGAATGTCTTCTGTCACACTAAACTAAAATGTTCAGTTCGCCGTCGTAGAACCACAGAAGTTTGACCCCTTTTCTTAAAAGCTGATGAATCCGATAGTGGAACAACTGTTGATTGATAGTCGTCAACTAATCGATTAACCGCTGCAACTAGTGATCGGAAAAAAAAAAAAAAACCCACATACAGTCTTCACCTTTCTGCACATGAAACAGTAAATGGAAACGTTCTGTAAATGCAGTTTTCCTCGAGGAAAACTTTCAAATGACCCGACCCAGACTTCTGGACTCCACTGCTCACCTGTGTGTCGGTGTATCTGTATACACCCCATGTATATATTGCATCATCCATCCGAACCGAGAACAAACTCTCTCCTGTCCTCGAAGAGCAGAACCGTCCTCAGCCAGCGGACCGTGCAGTAGAACCTGGGAGCCAGTGTTTTTTTTTTTTTTTTAAAGATGTAAATAAAACAAACGATGTGCAGGCAGGACAGTTGAGGCTTCCCAGGACTTTGCGGCACGGCGAGCTGCTGACGACGGCTTTGAGAATAAAAGAAAAGAAAAGAAAACAAAATCAAAAACACTCGACGACAGAAGAACACACACGAGCGATAAGAACAGAAATATTGTACTTCTCGGAGGTCGTGACATCAGTAATTCTATATAAAAGCTGGAAAGCACAGACAGACGATGGGACAGATCGAAGGGCTGCGCTAGCGGAAACCATGGCGACGGCATGTGGACAGACGGACAGCTGTGGGTAGGTTTTGTAACTTTACAAGCGAGTTTAACCGAGGGGGGGAAAAAAAAAAAAAGCGTGACTCGAGTGTGCGACAGGAGCTAAAGCCTCGAACGCCGGACAGCGATGGATGGGCGGCGTTCTTCTTCTTCTTCTGCACAAAGAGTTTCTGTACACCGTGAGCTGATCTCAGAGTTGACATCTAAGGAAGGTCAGTGCAATTTCGAGAAAAAACCGTGAACTCTGCCCTCTCGCTGCTGCAGTGCGCGGTCGCATCAGCGAGCAAAGAGGCGGATTCGTTTGGTCGTAGAAGAGTGGAGGAAAAAAAAAAGGACAGGAACACGGGAAATAAACAGCACAAAGGATGCAAACACGCGCTGACTGTTGAGGAAGCGAACGTGACCGAGCTCTGCAGCAGTTTGCCGTCCAGCCGATTCCTCTCTCTGTAGTGTTGCCGATGCTCTGTACACCCTGTGGACGCCTCCATAGCGCCGTCTTGTCAGCTGTGACCTCGCTCATCCTTCAGGCGTTGCCCCTCTGTCCCTTCCCATCGCTCCTCCTCGGCAGCCTCTAACCGTGTTCCGTCACCAGATTCAGTTCCGGCCGCTGGGTTGTTTGATTGTCCTTTTTTTTCCTTTATTTTTTTGTGCTCTTTTTTTTTTTTTTTTTTTAATTTATACATCATCCATTACTGGAGCTCGTCCTGCTTGTACTCGGCCGCCCCTCCGTTCCGACTGTTGCCGTACCCGACGGCGAGGCTCGCACCGTTGTTGCTCTCACCGGCCTCGAAGCTCTTCTCCTCCAGCGGCTTGCCGATCCAGGCGCCGTAGCCGTGGTCGCTGAGCGCGCGGAAGAACTGCTGTTTGGCGAGCTGGAAGGACATGGCCGCCATCTTGGCCTGGGCGTAGGAGGGCAGCGAGAGGAGGTCGGTCCGGCCGCCCCGCTGGCACAGCGAACGGAACAGGCAGAACAGGTTGGACTTGGACACCCGGGACACGGCCAGTTTGTTCCTGGAACAAAGACATGAGCGAGTTGAGCTGATGAGACGGTTCACATCGTGACTCGTCTGGTGTTTGCTCTGATTGTGCAGCACTTCCTGTTTGGCTCATTTTGGGTGATTTAATTAAAGTTAAATGAAGCTTTTGGGAGATACTTGAGATAAACGGATATGAGAAATCCTGCCAAGGGGGTGTTTTGTTCATATTTGTTCACATGAAACACGTCATCTTTTAAAAATGACTCCATTTATCATCCTCATACGAGTACACTTCCGTCAGGAAACTTAACCAAACCTCAGGATTTTTAGTCAAAACCACTTTATTCTACAACTCATTTTTTAAAAATCCAAAAATAAACCATTTGTACCAGATTCTGTAAAAAAAAATAAAAAATTCTGTGCCTCTCAGCGCAACACAAAAACTATGACTCACTCAGCTGTGACCAAAAGCAAAATGGCAAAAATTCTGAGAGTTTTCAGCTGAACTGCAACAAAATAAAATATATTTGGTCAATAAATAAATGCAGCATGGCTCAGAAACAGGGAACAGAGGAGCCAGTTGTTGGAGAATACATCTAACATGGTGGAACATCTTTCTACAGCTGATGGTGGAACATCTTTCTAC